CGAGACATCAAAAGCGTTTTTTCCTTTTTATTATTCTCTTAACAGCACTCATACGCAATGGTGGACTGTAGTTTTCAAATGACATGCTTTTGATTTGTCAGTTAGTTGACTTGAAGTTTTATCTCTTGCTGCGTGTTTGCTACATAGAGATGCTTACAAAAAGTGAACGCTATGTCTTGACTTTAAACGCTTATTAGTTTGGGAAGAGAAAGAAAACAGTTTCTGGTTGCCAGATATTGCCCGCAGAAAAAATTTCTTAAAATTTCAATCAGTAAAACTGTCTTCTCAACGTCTTGTCTTCACGATCGTTTCCAATAAGTAAAGTTGATCGTAATATGGTGGAGATTAATTCTTCACTATACAATAACAAATCTGATGCATTTAGCTTTCATTTTCGCAAATTACCCAATAAACATTATTGGTGGCAAATCCTCATTTGCCAGACGTCCATATATTAATGATCGCCCTCTACTGTTCCGGTGGCTTAAGGGCGATTGACAGGCAGCAGCTAGTCTTTTCTTGCCAATCGCGTTGAAACGACTCACTTCAGGGCCGGAAGTGTACACGCTTTCGCTCCACAGATAAAAATAAGACCACGGCTCACAGGATATTGCAGCCTCGAACGAAATGTGGGCTGATTTTCCATCAATCAACTTAACATAATAAGCATTTGATTTAGAACAATCAGTCTCTTGACAATCTTTTGTTTGTCTGCTGTTCGTCACTCAATTCTTAGCAAATTGCCCACAAGTTATCTTCGTGATCGTAGTATTTTCGATATATTGTGCTCCCACAATTTGCCGGCTTGCATTGCAATCTTCTCTCCTTTTAAAGCTTGTCATCAGAACGTGTAATTGCTCAGTTACATTGCGAATCAATTCCCTCAAACATTGCTTCTATTTACGCAATACTTTCATTAGACGCTTGCATGAGTACAGATGTAACAATGTCATCTTTACGATAGCACAAACATCTTACATTATGAAATTACTCACTACACTGTAGTAAGCTACCGTTTCTACGCAGTAGCATCTGTTCTTGCTTTTCTAAATTCTAGTCTTGCAATTCGTAGAAATTAGTATTTTCCATAATTCCGTGCACACATATAAGAGCCGAGTTGCATTTAGGGCGAAGCCGAAAACGGAGTGTCTTGGTTAAGTAGTCAAAGACAATAGACGATATTGGAAGAGGTTATTTCCTTCATTTCAAGAACGCCGTTGTTCTTCTAGATAGTCTCCCTTTTAGTTAAATAGACTTCCTCACCATGTTAACCAGTTTGTATGTTTGGAATGCTCTGCTAGAGGGCTAGCAATATATTTTTCTCTTTTCCCCGCATCGTATCTTCATCTCTTCGTCCTATGGCAAATACAAAATGTCTTGTTTTGACGTTAGGCAAACATGGCTTTGCCTCCAGTCCTCTCTGAGGCTAAAAGCTTGCTTACATTCTAAACCCGAGTTTATTATTATGAAGTTTGTATATATGTATGGATGTAAAGTAAAAAAGGTGCCCTGGTTCTACTAATATTTTTCTCGTTTTAATTTTATCTTTTCTTAGAGCGATCAATAAAAATTCAGTGGTTGTTACAGTGGCATAGATTCATACCCCACGCATAGTTGCAATCTCTACCCACGCTAAGAGAATATAGGCAAAAGGAAAAATAAAACTGCAAACAAAATCAGTCTCTGTTACTGCCAGAAAGTAATTCATATTATGAAATGCAAGAAGAGAATTGAAATTTAAATTTAACTTTAAATTTTAAAAATCACTAGCTTTGCGTACCTAATGATCACACTGGTATTATGAACGCGATGTTGCTGTTGCCCTAAATTCGAGACGAACAATCGTCATTCGAAGGAGTCATGACGTCGTAGTTTTAGTAGTTTTATTAGATTTTTCTTAGCTGATCTGAGGCTTCGGATGAATATGTATTCTGTCTCTCAGCACCCGCGGTCAGGTCTGGTTGACAAGGCAATCAGCTCCTTATGTATCTGCCCACTTTTACTGCAAGTTTAAAATAATTTGATGGCATACTTCTAATTGAGGATAACGGAAAAGGGATTTGATTGAATTTGTTTAACTTCATATGGTAAGCGAAATTCATCGCAGTTTCGGAGGCAGGAGCAGTTTGTGTTGTGGATAACAGCTCTTCACAAGTTTTTTTTTATGTGTAGACCCCTCTTGAATATATTTTCTTGATCCGGCTTTTTTTACTATACTTAAGACATCAGTTATATTGTCGCCTTCGACTTTACCGAACATCTGTTGGTGCCTTTCGCTGGGTGAGGTTTGCTTTTTTTGCATAATTATAGCCACTTGATCCAGATACTGTTAGCTGGTGAAAGCAGAACTTCGAATATAGCAAAAGATCGTGGTTTTATTCAACTTCCATCCGTAAATAAAATGTAATCGAAGTCCAGGCAAACACACAGCACCAATGGACGCAGTTTCTCAATATAAAACATAGATGCATACATATATATGTATACATATACATATAAATATATGTATATACATACATATACATGTATATAGATATAAAAGCCGAGCAGCAATGATAGCGAGTAAAGTGTGATGCTTGGACCTGAAGTATTGACCCATTTGACATGTGATCAAAATTTAGAATGTCATGCAAATATTTTTTCACTTAACATGCGCTCACTCGCTTTCATTTCAACTGTATAAGCGCCGATGGATTTATTGACTGCAGCTATAGGTTGAGTTTGCTCAGCGAGCTCCTCTTTTAAATTGAAATTAGTATCTATATCTGATTTAATTGGATATTGGATATCATCTAATAGCAAACAATTCCATCCGCTAGCTTCGCATTGTTTTCTGAAGGAATGATGAGCAGATTGGGGATTTATTTCTGCAAAAATGCAAATGAAAACATGCTTACCATGTGCGTTCATGAGAGAACGAAAAAAATCACACAAAGCGAAATCATGGATAGATACCACAGCTTATAGAGGAAAGCTGATGTTCGATTCGAATATAGGACCATTGCTGAAATAAAAGTATCTTTGCCTACCTAAACGCCAATCACCGTTGTTATTGCTCTACGGCTTCAGACAACAAACGCGAATTTTGCCTTTTCTTTTGCTTTTTTTAACCTAAAAATAAGTTTCAAGAAAATTTTGATGTAAAGAATAAAATATAATTTCCGACATATGTTTGCACGAATGCGTACCTTTATTACGTAACTTTGTTTATCGATAATTCTCTCTTTATTCCGATTTCCGATCATTTTTTTCGGTTTAGTAATTAGACGACAATGCCATAATCAAATTTGACACTAATCGTTTTTTTTTTTATTATTAAATTCGCCAAAAGTGTCGGCTCCGTGGAACTACTGCATCTTTCAATAGGAGCCCACATTTTCAATTTTATATCTGTCAATATCTACCATTAGATTATGAGAGAGCGCATGATTCCCTGAATTTATAAATTTTGCAAACTTTTTGTCAAAACTGCCAAATGCGAGTCATTGCAAGTGTAAACCCGTAAGCGTACAAATGAAAGCTCTTTGTAATACGAAAAGTGTTGGTGACGAGGGTCCCGTTGAATATCGATTATATCCACGATTTTGAGTCAAATTTCGCGCTCGTTTTTGTTACTTTGTTTTTTCTAATGGTCAATTGTTTAGGAGATGTCCGCCGGTAATGGCCAGAAAGAAGAAGTGAAGAAAGAGAATGATATAGGGAGATGGATATGTACGTCTTTACTGTCTAGACACTCACTGCGACAAAAGTAAAGCACTTGTATGAATATATATGGAAAGAGAATATTCTTTTTATTTTTGAAAATAGGGTAAAATCGAATGCCACGCCTATAAAAATTGTATAAAACTATTCAAGAGACGTACAAGGGGAGATGAATTTATATTTTTGATACATTTATATAAAAAAGATTATATATTATAGTGAGGCCTACCGCATTGAGATTTAAACCCGCGAATATTGACTTGTAAACTCTATCGCACTAAGATTTGAGCCCGGAAATACTGACTTGTCACTAGTCACAGCTCTTGCCTGCTCGACAATTCCGGCGGACGTTGGACTGCATTAATGAACAAACAGGTGGTGAATTAAAAATGCTGCCCAGAATGAGTTTAGTAAGGAAGTCTTAAATATACCATCCAAAAAGGTGACGCAATTCATTGCAAAATAATCCTTAGTAATAACGAACAGTTCGACCCAAGGGATAAGCAAAGGTGCAGCAATTTATGAAAACTCAATGAAATGCAATTTTTGTCCAGGAGTTAGCTCAAGCGACAGCTTCTGTCCAAGTGTTTTTTCCAATTAGAACAAGCAAGGGTTGGGACCGAATCTTTTATACTCATCACCGTTATCCCAAAGAGAGACAAAAGAAATAAAAGAACAACATTTTCAAGCTGTACAATATGGAGTGGGCGCAACTGATTTCTTCTATTTTCAAAATAAAAGTTTTTGTCGTACAGGTGTGTGGGCGTTGTACGCTCAGTTCCATGAAAACTTTAGGTCAATCGCAGGTTTTTTTGCAAATTTTTAGGCGCTGACGGGAGAACGATTACCACAAATACTACAACGTTATGCTAACAGACAGATGGACAGACGAATAGTCAGATATGTTTACGTGCATTTCAAATTGGAAACTGGCCAAGAATTTGTATAGTTTAGAAGAATTTTGAAGCTCGTTCCTGCGCGTTGTAAAGGTATTGAGAGGTATTGATACACTATAATATTGGGTACGACGCATGGCCTTTTTTTTCCATTTTTGTATACAAATGCTACATCATCGCCGATAGAATATGCGTTCAAATTTTTGTACATTTATTTGCTATAGTTTTATTGGTAATGAGCAAAAAACCAATTTTTCATTCCTTTACGTGGTGCTGTGGACCTTCGACTCATTTCGCCCATTTTCAATATCAACCTACGTGCAAGAACTTTCAATGTTTCTGCCAAATTTGAAGTCGATAGCTTCATTTTTGCGGCCAGGAGAATCTTTGCAAGAGACATTGCACAGACGGACAGACTGATCAACAGTATATATATACTTTGTGATACATACTCAGATGCTTCCTTCTGGGCGTTGCCGTTGTGTTAACGAAGTAAATTTACCCCTCATCCTTATATGATGGGTATAAAAAGAAAAGGAACAAAGGCGCGCATTTACTCGGCGTCAACTAAGCTAGGTATTTATGGGCCTGCTACGGAGGCGATCCGTCAAAGCTCATGAAGGTATATTATTTGAAAATGAGTTGTGCCCTTAATTACGAACCTGAATTTGATTCCACAATTACCACAAAATAACTCCGATTACGCCCTTTCACTTTCAAGGCGTAAGTAAATTTTTATCATTTGCCGAATAAACTTTCGCCAAAAAATAGAAATTTATCTGGACGCCATTTACAGCGCCCCCTGTTCAATTACTCAGAGAGTGAAAATTAAGAAAAAAAAAAAAGAATGGAAAAAGTGGAAAAAAGGAAGGTTTTATTTAAGGCCGATAAAAGAGATTATATCAAAACAGGACTAACTAAGAACGTACAATTTCATTTTAAAGCCTTCCCCACCGTTAATACTAGGAGTCCCAAAGTTTTTTTTTAGTTTCATTTTCGCTTAAGCTTTTGAGTTTGATTTAAGTTTGAGTTGGTTCCATGATTTCTAGTGATGAGGACGCGGTTCTTACAGTTTTTTGCGTTGAGTTTAGAGAAATGTCTTGTCTTCAGAATTAAGTTACCTTCCGGCAATTTCGTTGCCACGGCTTTCTTTGGTTTTGCCGGCTGCTTTGTCGGCGGTTTCTTTACCGAAGCAGCTTTAATAACCATCATACTCGCTGACACTGACCTGGCCTTAGGTAATCGAGACTTTGGCTTAGCTACCTTCTGCTTCTCACAGTTATTGCCAAGGTTAGCAAAAGCTTTTCCCGCTTCTGCAACTGAGTCGAAATTCCCAAACACCTTTACAAGATTTTCATTTACGTATTGCAAATACTGCAGCGCCGAGTAGCAAACATCGCATCGTTTATTCGGAACGTAGTTCGTACTTATTAAACTTTGAAGATACAAAAAATTTTTCGCCATATTCTCGCAACCTGAGCACTTAACATCGGACTCCTTCCGAATTGGTGACACATTTCCCTCCTTGACGCTTGATTGAGCACAATTTACGTCCATCTGTTGACAAGAATTGATTGCGAAATTTTTCGGTATAAAAGGCAACTCAATCGTCTCTTTGGTCACTGCGTTCGCCTTTTTATCTAAATTTGAAATATTCTTATTATTCATCTTTTTTGCAACTTTTTTCTTCGAATCGCCCATTTCTCCTCCTTTTTCGTAAACTTTTTATATTACTGAAAATTTTTTTGATACTTTCAATTGCTGTGATAACTATATCAAAGGTAATACGCAAAACAAGACCTACCAGTGACATCAGTTTCTATTTTATTTTGGCATTTGATCGATTGACGAAGGCAAAATCAACCTTTATACTTTACACCCTACACTCCGAATGCTTATATCGAAAACATCCAGAAGTGGTGGAAATAGAAGAAATATTTACTTTCAGAATCATTTTCTGAATCGTTCCTGTCTTCTATGTACGTCCTCCTGCATGCTGCGTGTATTCTTGGCTTCTTACGGGTGGTAATTTTTGACATATTGACGCACTGACAATCACCGCCGAAAATGGTTCGGATTGGTTCAGTCACACGACAACTTACCACATAATGCCTATTGTCAAAACAGACGTTTACAGATGTAAAGTATTCAATGCTCGGTTGTAATGTTCTAACTTTTTCTTCTTCTTCTTCTTCTTCTTCTTGTGCAATTCAGCAAATCAACAATGGATGATTGAGTTTTAACTTATTTCGGTTATTATATTTTGGTTACCCTATAATAATGGCCGGAAATATCCGCCTCAAACCACATAAATGCCATGAGACTTCAGCACACCAATTTCTTGTTAGGATTTTCAATACCCAAGCCGAATACTCGAATTTATACACAGCCAAGCATGAGGATTGCATTCACTTGGAAGTAAAAATATTCACTCGAGGAAAAATAGCAAGAACATTATAAACTAGTTTGTTGTCGAGTGGGTTCAGTAGCTTAAGCTGAAGCTTTATCTATTATTGCCATACAAACTTTTATTTAAATGTTTCCAATGCGTGTAACTGTAAGTCGCGGCATTTTGCCGAATGCTCGGAGCTTTTTTTTTCCGTTTCATCTTGAGGTGGTCCTGATAGATGTACGTACCAATTTTAGTCTGCCACCGGTTATAAGTTAGAATTTCTTGCTTATAGACATTAGGGACGTGGGCGGATCATATTGCTTTTTAAATTTGTTATGTAGCTATCATGCTTTAAGCTTCTTATCTCCCGCCCTGCTGTCAGTGACAGATACATTTTTCCAGCTCTGACCGCCACAATGGTAAGCAACTTACATCATTCAATTAATCTATTCTGAACAACCCTTCTCTATTTAGCAACAATCATCTTGTATGTATAAAAACCGAGTTTGACAGCAATTTGATTGAGTTTCGCTTCTCTTCGAACCGACTCATGAGTCATATTTTACTAGCAAAATAGACATAACATAATGTCATCTGTCGCATTGAAGGAAGTAAAGAAATTATTTAACAGATGATTAACAACGATTTAGTTTCTTAACTACCACTTATATGACTTCGCGAGAGAAAAATACCTGAGATCGAAACATCTGCCCTTTCTCTCTTTAGGGCTCTAGGCAACTAAAGCGCTAGACCCTCCATCATGAGTCCTACTATTATTATCTTTTCTTGTTTTACTTAACAGGTAACGAGGGAGATGAGAATCGTATTAGTTATATAAAAAAGCGAACCTCCACTTTTTTGACGGATTATATGCAAAAAGTATGATAACATATTTTTCTCTAAGAAAAAGCTGGAAAAAGGAAAATAATTAATTCATAATTATAAAGAGTGAGTTAAGGGAGTTGTTATTCTAAATTTATTCTGTTCGTACCTGAAAGTATTTCATCATTAAGAAAACATATTAAATGATTCAATGTCTCTTCAATGTCTTCACTTTACGAACATGTGCGTGAAAGTCGTTAATATTCCTACCAAAAAGGCAGATGTTAAAAAAATTATGTGCAAGTAATGTGTGTCTTTTTATCCAAAAGCAACTAAAAAATAAGAGAAAAAAAAAGAAAGAACATTATAGTCGGGCAAGGCCGGCTTTTAAATATCCTACATCACATTGTCTATCACAATTCTTATTTTTATTATAGAACGCAAAAATTATATCCTGATACTATATAGAGGCATAGTTTTCATGTGCCTATATCTCGGCTAGCAGGCCTAAAACTTTACCTAATATTGTACAAGTTTAATCCTTATCTAGGGTGAGTTCCAAAAATAGGCGTAGATGGCTCAAATTCTGTAGAGTTCATTTTTGCATGAAATTACTATTATTTCATAAATCACATATTAAACCTTTGCCTATTCTGCTCTAGAGAGGATCAATTTTCGTGAAAATCATTATTAGGGTAGGATCCAAAAAATGGGCCGAAACTATTTAAGTTAATTTTTTTATGTTAAATTACTATTATTGAAAATTGTACCTTTTTGTCGCATAAACTTCAGTTTTCGTTATACAAGAGGGCGTTCAAAAAGTGACATAGCCCGTCCCAAGTTTTCATGCCAATTGAGAATAGCAAAATACTACTACTTAGACACTTTAGCCGAGAAATTTTGAAAATTGCAATATTTTTCCATCTAACGACTTTTCAGAATAGGACGTTGTATGGGGAGTGATTCAAAAAGTGGTCCGATCCGAACTTGAACACAAATTTACATGAACAGACATTAGATGGACAGGCTTAGATTATGATTCAGAATCGATGGGTAAAGTAAAAGGTGGGCTCATCTTAAGCCCTTCTGCATGTTACATAAGACCGTAATAAATCAATATATCCTGTACCATAAATGCTGTAGGATATAAAGATACCTCGAGCAAGCATTCAAACAAGTAGGCGTTAAGAAATGAAAAAAAGAGAAAAAAGGGAAATCGAAGCAAATATTTTCCGTAACCAAAATAGCAAACTTTAAAGTATATAAATAAATAATTACTACGGCCTACATTTTGAAATTGTCTTAAGGAAGCAAGGTAAAGCGTGTCTTCACATTCCTCCTCTTTACGATAATAATGATTTTTAAATGTAAATGTATTGCACAGAGGCTAAAAAGTATTGAACTTTCATTTTATTTTTTCTTACAAATCATTTCCTTGAAAACTAATTATCCAGCTAAACATTTTTTGTCAAATATTGAATATTTGTATGTATATGCGTATGTACATATGCAATATGCTATCTATTACTACTGCTTGTACGTGGATACCTGATGAAAACCTATAGAAAAACTTGTCAAAACATTACGCTCTAGCCAGGTCGACTATTAGGTATCTTACACCACTTTTTGACACTTAAAACTGAGAACTTGGAATCCAAAGCAAATTTGTTTGCCGTAGCATTATTTTTTTGATACTCTTTCTTGAAAACCGTTATGTAGATAGAATTACAAAAAATAGATCTACATAGTCCAAACTCATTACATTAAATATTTGTACCATGCGACTATTTCGCACTAATCTTGAACATCGCAAAATACTAAAAATTACTCCTTAGCGTCAACAAAAATAATCTCATCCCATGTATCAAGGTTGTCCACTTCCGATTGACATGTTTAAGTACTAATTGTGACCGATTTTTTTTTTTTTTGAGAAATGCTAAAAATTGATTATGGAATGATTGCACAATCACTTGATCCTATTCATCTTCAAGAGTATTCATTCTTTGCCGATTCAGTCCACGCCAGTACATACCGAATTCGTTCAAATTATCTCAAAAATTGTGTGCTGTAGGTGGAATCGAAATATATATGAGGATGGATAGATTCAGAAAATAGTTCTTGGTTGATATAATAAAAGATGGATCTGTTTCAGTATCTATATATCTATCTATTTAGTACGCACTTATCACAGGTTATGTCGAACGTCGGCTTGAAAATTGTTTCCTGTATATGAGCATAGACGGATGGGCAGACATGTTTAAGGCGGTTCGGAAAATAATTCGCAATCGGTTTAATATGAGAGACGGATCTATCTGAAGTCCACATTCGCTAAAGTAGAATACTATAAGCATCCAAAATATATGAAAATAACGACAACAAAATCGCGTTCACGTAGACTTTAGTTATGATGAAGGCTTAAGAAGAAATTTAGCAACACTTTATCACTTCGTCATGAGTGTAATAATTAAAATGCTCAGCTGCTTATTCACTCCTGAAAGCGATTGTGTAGCTCTAGAGCACGTACACGTATAAAATGCAAAAAAGTCATTAACAATAGTAAGATTTATCAAAGACGAACAGCCTGACATTTATGTATGAAAATGCGCAAAAAAAAAGAGAAAAAATATTTTCAAAACTTTTGTGAAACAAAAAGCAAAATGCTCTACATCCGGGCAGAAACATTTTGAAAGTAAATTGTAAATTTGGAAAAAAAAATGAACCTAGAAGGAAGGCAAGCTGGAAAGATTGTTGTATAACCCAAGAAAACCAAATAGATGATAACAAAAGCAAAATGCGATAACTCGCAAAGCGAGTGCGAAATATTCTCATTTTCCATTTTTTTTCTGGATTTTTCGAAAAAAGCAAGCTGGGCGATGCAGCTAAAATAGAGTCTACATTTGCCTTTAGGCCCATTTACCATATCGATTATAAACATAAGGGAGCTTCCGAGATCCATGCTGTTTTTGTCCATAAAAGCGTTAGCCTTGCTTTAAGTCCTATGATTTCACAGAAAACGTGCTGATAAAGTCTCGTAAAACTGTTAAATTTTTTGGGCATAGGTCTGCCCTCGTTACCTCAATTTCCTCAAATAGTTTGTGAAATCCGTGCAAACACTTCGCTGCAATGTTGGAGTTTTTTCTTTTCTTCATGAATAGATGAATAGACTAATGATAGGACGGACGTAAATGGCTGCAACATCGATTCTCACGCCAAAGCATTTCCTTTGCCATGTCTCCTGCTAACGTGCTTGAGTAGCGAGAGACTATAAAAACAGTTCACTAATCTACGCATTTACCCTTCACGCATAGTTTTTACACTTCCGTGCGCGGAATATATTTGCAGAAGTAAAAAAAAAAAAAAGCAGAAATTCATTGTCAATACAACGTGGTTGACCGATAAGGACAAAGTGAAGGGTAAGAAGAAGAATAATCGTAAAACAAATTTATGGGCTAGCAAGGAAGCAATAACAGCTACAATAGCACACAAAGGAAACAATACCACACCCTTGACTTGCGTCTCTCTCAGTAACAGCAATATGTGTTCTACTCTGTTGAGATTCGTAGGCAATGAGTTAGTTAAATAAATACATTTTGTATCAATTTTTCTCAGTCAATGCCTTCTTCAAGTGAGAAAATGGTCAGAATACGTGCAAGCACACTCATACACACACGTACAAAATATAAAAAATTTCTTTTATCCCAAAGAACAGAAAAAAATGTAAATAACATATTTTCACACACACAAGCGCAATTGCTTGATTATATAAAATTTGATTTATTTTTCCCAATTGACATACATACACAGACGCGCGTATATTTTGTTATACAAATGAAATTATACAGACACGCAGGCACACATATGCATTATTAAATGGTAGCAAGCAACAGACGAGGAAGAACAATTAAGCTTTATTCTGTTTGTATCCTTAAAACTTTTCATTTGAGTTTTATTTTTCTTCTCTAAAAGCTTTCCTACTTTTTCACTCACTCTTATTTGAGATTACTTTTGACCGTTCCGTTGCGTTAATCGATTCGACTAATAAAACCGAATTTGAAAAATATTAACTATCGTAATTGCAAAACGATTTCTCCGTGAAGGCAACGTTTATTATTGCTTTACCATGTTCAAGTGCAAAAATTTATTGCGAATAAAACTTTCAAATTCCTCCTACGAGTTGATTAGATAATGAGTTTCGCTTTCATTAACGCTAAAGATGATAAGAAGATAATAATGATAGTCGTTTTAGGTAGAATGAGCTTTAAACATTGCACTCTCAACGTAGTGCGCAATAAGAAGTTTGTCAATTGTCTTTGATCGATAGATGAGCGACTCAAGCATTTCCGTCAATTTTACGCTGCGCTTGCCAAAAAAATTTGCAAAGTCTTTCCCTCTGCCAATTTGCTGCGTAATATGTTCGCTTTGCAAATTTTTCTTTTCTTTTCTACGTCTGAGTAGAAAACAATATTTTTGCAAATTTGACCAATCTATCATAACTGTCGACAGCGTTAATGACAGACCTACCAGCAGACAGACAATCCCAAATCCCAAATCTCTCTGCTCTGGGCGAAATTGTTGCCTTCTAATGCTTACGTAATAGGACTCGTCGAACAGGACATATCTCCAGGATAGGATTCATAATCGGACAGATCCGTTCACGACATCTACAAAATCCTGGGAACATTTTAAATCTATTCCTCTGCATCTGTCGCTACACCAATTCCGATACCATATTCCATATATAATATCTATACGCAAGAGTAGCAGAGTAGGTACGAATCGTGACTACCAAGTCAGTGTTTCAGCGGATTCAAAGCTTATTGCGGTAGAGTCTACTTTGCCCGTGACTGTAGTGAGTGCTCAGTCGACGAAGGCATAGTTTATCACCCCAAGAAACGATCTATAAATCAAGACGTACACATTTCTTCTTCTTTTACTATTAAATCCTTCTTATTATAAAGTGTTTCTTTACAAGCCGTTTTGAGGCGCAACACGATCGAGAGTTGCTCTCTTAGAGTGCCATCGACGCTTTCCAGCAGCATCACAAGTCATATAACCATATCTAATAGTTGTCATGTCTTTGTTGTTGTAGATACCAGGTTGTGGGAGCATCAGTTGCACCTGGAGCGAGCTCAAGATTTTCATATAGAATGCACAAAAGATCTTATATCAGGCTTATGTTTAGAATTCCCCAGCAATTCAGAATATGTGGTTAACTTAATACGAGGTATGTATACACCGGCTACACAGCGTTGCAGCATTGCTAGGTTTAGGGATATGCTTAACCGTCAAAACGATGAGGCAGGTGAGGAGCTAAATACTTTTTATTTTTATCAATCGTAGACATCTCCGATTCTAAAATCAAATTTTAATTCTCGAAAAAATATAAATATATATAGCAAAGAAGATTTGCTAAAGAAGAATAAACGAAAAAACTATGAAAAAAAGTCGTAGTGAATTTCAGATGTGGGATTTCGGTTTGATTTGCATCGGCGTTGGTGCGGGCGGTCGACGGACGGCGGACGAAGAAACGTACGCGTCGAACACAAAAATTTCAGCGAGCTATTGTTGGCGCTTCATTAGCTGAGATCATGAAAATTTCCAACTGAAAAGATAAAATTTGCCACGCAAACCCAAGTCTTTAGTTTTATTCGCGGTATATTTGCGAAAAAAACACGTTGAACTTTGCCAAACACTTCAAAATCATAAGCCTACAACTGCCTGGACCCATTTTTCTTCGCAACTTCAAAATTTATTTAATTTTTTTTAAAACGATTATAAACTTATGAAATTAGAGTCAACAACAAAATAATGCGTTTTGCAGGCAATGAATTATATCTGCTTCCGCAAAAAAATAAGCAATAAAATCTGTAAAAATTTATTTTCTTTTAAATCTCTCTCTTCTCAACTAGGGTTGAATGTGAAAATTGCAAAAGCATTTGCGCCGTGAGTCTAAATACAGCTTCCAGAAGTGCTTTACCGATCTCACTTCCTGACCGCCCTCAAAATCGGTCGCATGTATAAAAATTCTGCACTTTAGAGAGTAAGCGTATAAAAATTGCGTTTATGTGGAAACATCATACAAGTGTAATTATTTTATATTAGTTGTGCTCTGCGCTCGTATGACAAAATTAAAAACAGAAAGGCGCGAGAAGAACAATATTTTACGCATTTTTTCCCTGTAAATCACTTTTTCATCCATGTTTAGAAAAGTTTTATTAACATATTTTCGGTTTTTTACATTTTACATCATTTAAATAATTGTCAAAAACAAATTGAACTTAAATATAATTTAAAAACCATATCTTTTTTTGTTTTTCCAATTATGTACACAAACAAATACAATATACAAAAATTTTATCGTTTCAATCTTGTTGCAAAATAGTTATCATGTTTACGAGCGTGCTCTTCTCTTTTTTTTTTAAATAGCAAATATTTTAAAATTTTCAAACTGGACGGCTCATATGGAACTCTATAAAATGCTATGTATATATTGAATTAGACTTTAAAGTGAAGATAAAGGTAGACATAGTGTGAACTCTTTCTGTTTCTCATTTCTTCGTAATAGTAAATAAAATATTTTTTATACTTAGAACTTCCAAAAAGCATATATGTAGCTATTAATTCATTTAAAGTTAAAAGCGATATAATCGATTCCAAATGCGATTTAAATAACTCGTAACAGTGCATCATTTCATATCTTCTGCAATTTTCGAGAGTTAAGCAAAAAAAATATCAAGCATTTCACCAATTTTCTCGATTAAATTTTATATTGCTCTTCTCAATCATTTGGTAACTTGAGAGAGCGATGGTTTGAACTTCGAATTTGTTCTTTGAATAATTCAATAAAGAAACAATGAATTTCGCGCATTATCAGCGCCATCTACTATAATATGGAATAATCATAAAAGGTGAAATAAAAATGTATGAAGCAAATGCAAGCCGGAACGGAGAGAAAGCAACACGGCATGTGCCTAAACATATTTATCTCGAAAATTTTGTTTTCTTAAAATGGGAATGTAAACAAACAAAGAAAGATAACATATTCGTGCAAGAGTTTAATGTTTAATGATGCAAGCATTCTTAGCAATTTGAAACGAACGATAAACTGGCGGAAAATGAGGGCTTTACACGTGTAAAAAGGAAATGAATTATTTTTACCGAAGATGCCATATTTTCCACCGAATTAATTCATATACGCGTTTCATCGTAATCCGCAACGTTCCGAATTGACATTCTGCACAACAAAATAATTGTGCGCACTTCACGCACGTGATATACAAATTTGTGAAAAATTTGTTTTACCTGCTAGAAGCAGATTTTTAACTATTAAACATAAATTTATATAAATAGTAGAAATTGTTTTCACTATAAGATGGATTGGGCTAAGAAAGCCGAAGACCAAGTAAGCAAATTGGTTAGCAATTTAGAAATTGATAAAAAGGATGACTCGGAAGAGAAGAAAGCCGGCACTGAAGAAGCTGACGGGGCGAGTCCTGCCGAAACTAGTTTAATGCTAAAGATTATTCGGAAAGGCCTAGTGGAATCGAAATTGGATTTGGAAGTTCAACGTCAAGATCCAAATTCTCCATTGCATTCAGTAAAAACGTTCGAGAAATTACATTTGAAACCTGAAATTCTCAAAGGTATTTATATATTTTACAATTCTTGGTCTTGCTCATGTAATTTACGATTCTTCCTCTTGCTCACATAATTTTATTCCTCTTGCTCATATATTGTACATTTCGTGTTCTTGCTCTGTTAATAAGGTATATACGCGATGGGGTTTAATGCTCCTTCGAAAATTCAAGAGACTGCTTTGCCTCTCTTACTCGCTGATCCTCCTCAAAACATGATAGCGCAAAGTCAGTCGGGTACAGGCAAAACAGCTGCCTTTGTTTTAGCCATGTTAAGTCGCGTAGACACAAAATTAACGCATCCACAAGTTCTTTGCTTATCGCCAACATATGAGCTGGCAATCCAGACGGGTGAAGCCGCTGCTAAAATGGCTCAATTCTGCCCAGACATAAAGCTAAAGTTCGCGGTGCGCGGCGAAGACGTTGAACCCGGCACAAAATTGACTGAGCACATTATTATTGGCACTCCGGGGAAAGTATTGGATTGGGGTTTAAAATTTCGCGTAATCGATTTGAAGAAAATACGAGTTTTTGTTTTAGACGAAGCCGATGTTATGATAGCGACGCAAGGCCACCATGATCAATGCATCCGTATACACAAGCAATTGCCTGCTAAGTGTCAAATGTTATTCTTCTCTGCTACTTATGATAAAGACGTAATGGAGTTCGCTCAACATATTGTACCCGAAGCGAATATCATACGCCTCCAAAGAGAAGAAGAATCGTTGGATAACATCAAACAATATTATGTGCGTTGCCGATCCGAGGATGAAAAATATCAAGCCATACAAAATATTTACGGTAGTATTACGATTGGCCAGGCGATCATATTTTGTCATACTCGAAAAACGGCTGGTTGGCTAGCGGGAAAAATGTCATCAGATGGGCATTCTGTTGCGGTGTTATCAGGTGATTTAACGGTTGAGCAACGTTTAGCAGTACTTGATCGTTTTAGGATTGGTCTCGAAAAAGTGTTAATAACGACGAATGTGTTATCGCGCGGTATAGACGTAGAACAAGTTACTATTGTAGTCAACTTTGACTTACCTATGGATGCCAAAGGGCGAGCTGATTGTGAGACTTATTTACATCGCATCGGCAGAACTGGGCGGTTCGGAAAGAACGGTATAGCAATTAATTTGATTGATAGTGATAAAGCAATGGTTATCTGCCGTGCCATCGAAGACCATTTCAAGAAACCTATTAAGGAACTAAACGCTGACAACTCAGAAGAGATTGAAAAAATTGGATCCTAAGCTGATAAGAGTTAAATCTCAAATTTGCTGCTTAATAATATTGCTTACATACATAATATGTTTGCTTTAGTTACTTTTCTTTTTTTATTTTTTTTTTTTATTAACTTAAAAAGAAACATCTGTGTTATATATATTTTTGATGATTTACAATATAACATTATTTTCATTCAATAGAAAAAGAACTACGCTTTTCGTACTCCTTATAGAATAATAAAACGAAAATATGGCTTGAATCAAAAGAAAGCAAAAGCATTAGCTTTTTTTTATGGCATGGAAACGATTACCCAATTATTCATTTTATATATTTTTTCATTTTTCTATTTATGTATGTTTCCTTTCTTTTTTTTTTCTTTATTTTTGAAAATCTTGCATTATTTACAAGAGAATGATAAATAGTAGTAACATTGTTTCAGAGAGAAACAGCTGCAAAATGTGTAGAAAATAATTCATGGTAGCTACATTCGAACTGAAATGAAAGAAAAGCCTTCCACCTTATCTTAATACATCCACGAGTCGTTTACACGGTGTTTCCTTAAAAGTTGTTTTCGAAATTCTGTTTTCACTATTTGTTTTTCTTGTTGGTTTATTTATTTATTCATTGAAATTATTAATTTACGGTAGTTGGTCTAACTTGTAGCTTCACTCATGAACTGTTGAACTCGTCAGTAACATAGGAAAATTATCTAAATGTTTTATAAGAATTCTCTTTCGACCAAGGCGTCTATTTACTGTCATTACAAGGCCCTTGATGAAAATAAACCCTTGAGAGGAGAATGCCTATGGTCAAACAATGGTTTTGTGGACAATTGCAAATACATTGCAAACAAGTGGTCGCTCATTTAATTACTCTCTCAAATTACCAAATTCGAAGTTCAAATACGTTCAAACAAGTGTTTTAAATGTTTTCATGATTGACTTTTTCTGCTAAATGAAAGTTCGGTTAGCTTTTGCAAAAGAAAGAACAATTCCCGATTCGAATTAGTCTTTAGGCAGTTTATTTACGGGAGCAATTTGAAATCATTATGAAGTTTTAATAACTAGCGATAATCATATAATATATAAAGTAAATAACTTTTCTTGTAATTAAAACTTAAAGATGATGAGCAAGAGGTATGTAAGTGCGTAATTTTCTTTAGGTCCGAGATGGGAAAGATTTGGGAATTTTTTATTTTTTGTTCACCATATACTTCAGTTTTTGCTCAATCTCTACCGGTCACTACACGAATTGTTTGAGTGAAGCAGGCACTCAATCATCTCTTTTGCCTTCTTTCTTATTTTTTTAGTAACCGACATCAGACATTGGCATTAGAATGATACTTTCCCTTTTCATTCGCTTGCAACGTTCTCATTTTCTCTTTTTGACAGACTGTTTTTGATTGGATTAGAAATCTTATAGGTCTTTTGTTTCGTCTTATCCTTTTCTCTTGTTAGTCTTAGATGCTAGTGCTTTTAAGAGTTTAGTCTTAGAATTTATTTCTGTGGCGAAATTAATAATAATAATAATATTTAGTATTAGGGAATTTTCATTAAATCTTCATTAATCCCTTTGATTTTATTACTGCTTATAATTGAAATTGCCTATACCGTATAATTTTTCAGGTAATTTCAGTCGCAAAGTGCATTTGCGTTTTATAGTGGCGGTAAAAGTATGATTATGATTACGATTACGTTTTCCTATAAACAATAACAATACCAATAAATTTCTAATGCTTTGATATATTGGTACGAGGATCCATATTTTTGATTTGAGTTTTAATGAAAATTTATGGATTTTCTAAACTACCAATTTCTAAAGTAAGGGGGAAAGCAAGTAAACACGCATGGCGCGTTATCTGTGTCATGCAGTTGGCGACTGGCGAAAACATTAAGAACAATTTGCAGAAAATTTAACAGAAAATCGGATTATATATTATATAGTATGACTATTAAGATCATCATTATTCACGATCTTTCATTCAAGAAATTAAACGAAATTCATACATAATGTAGTGAGATTTCATTTTCGCCATTCATATTTATAGGAAAGCAACTCTGTGCTCTTTTCATATAAGCTCCTTTTCTTATATACCTTCAAAAGAAAAAATAAACAGATAACGGCTTTCTGTGAAACTTCACGTATACAAAAAAGAAAAAAACTACAAAGTTACAAAAACATTTAAATAAATAAACAATAAATAGTTCAAATAGATCAAAGTCATTATTTAATTTTGACTCAACAGTTTATTATTTGGACTTATAAGCCACAAATCTATTGGCTTAGTCCATCTATGTTTCAACATACCAAAAAAAAAAAAAAAATATACAACAAATAGAAACATTTCATCACGTTATCTCGCCAACAGACGTAATCCGTTAATCAACAACTCGAAAAATTGGACATATAAGCCACAAATCTATTGGCTTAATCCATCTCTTTTTCAACATACCAAAAAAAAAAAAAAAACTTTGACTTAAACATTGACAAGTAAGTGATTTTTAAAATTTCATATATTTTATTTTCGACGAGGAGAGCCTCCAGAGATTCGCATAGTTTTCCTTGGAATCTCGTTGTGGTCTCCTTAATAATGATAACGGAATTAGAAGTTGTATATATTATATTTTGCAAAATTTATGTTTCTTTCATCACAAACATTGGCATCGGATTTGGTATACGTGCTATAGTTTCTTCTTTTTTCTTTCATTTAGCCCTCATATAAATTTTTTCAAGTTTCCATTTTTCACAAGTATGTGCAAGTGCTTTGCAATACTTGTACATACTTGTCCATAGTTGTTGTTGTTATATTAGCCATTTCTTTTTTGAATTCTGCAGAAAGCTTTTTTGCGCGTGGTTGCAAATACTATAGTTACAGATTTTATCGATAACATCTTTATACATAACAGCTTACTATACACATTATATATTGCCAACACTGAATTATCGGATATATCACATAGAGCAACGCTCGTTCTTTTTTATTTTTTTTTTTTTTTGAGTATTTTTCTTCTTTCGACATTTGCTTTTATATTGATTACATCTGACACACAAGTCATCATATTTTTTGTATATATTATTACAACGTATTTGTTACGCATATTCCAAATTGATTTCAATACTTCGTCCACAGTGTTTATGGAATAATGAAATTTTCCTAAACAGTTAAAGGACTCTTGCTGCAATGTAATGTAATGAGAGTGACTAATGCATTGCCATTAAGACCTGGCAAGCCCCAAATATTTTATTTTCTGAGATGACTTTTAAATGAAAGTAGAAAAGTTGGAGCAACGTTAGGTAAGGAAGCGAGGAGAGCACAAGCCACAACATGATTTGTCTTCATTTTTAGCAACATTTTCTTGTAGACACGAAGCGGGTTTTCAAATCACTTGCCACCCATAAGCGTAGCGAACACATTCCTAACGAGAACTCTTTTTATATTACGGTTATAAGGAGTCCGGGATTATGAGAATTTAATTTTGAAACTGTGTTTATTAGAGTTCGGGCCGTAGATTAACATCAACGTACATTCAAGGCAACGGAATCGTTACTCTGATTCTTAAAGAAAGAAAGAGGATGTCATCAACCCAAAATCACCTCAACCTGTCACCTTAATGGAATGAAATGTGGATAATTTATTTGCATGTTGGCTTTCCCTCATAAGCCGTAATTTTGTTTTACTTACATTCCCTATCTATCTATACAGCAATTAGAAAGAAAAGAATTAATGTATCCTCTCCTAGAAGAAGCAATTGAGAAGAATTTGATCCACACTCGATGATTACCAATGAATGTAAACGCGAAGCTTTGTTAGATTTTGTCTCCAATTTTTTATGCTAATTTAAGCGGAATAGTAGAAGAGAAATAAAAAAAATTAATATGTCTGATGTTAAAAATACCTATCTCGTACTTCATTGGCGTTAGATATGCTGGCCTAATCAATATAAAAAAATATACCTTGCAATAAAAACGATTGTAAATAAATTTTTTCCACTTTTTCATAATATCAACACGAATAAGAAGTGCACTCAGTACAGATTATTGCAAAAGGAAAACTACATTAATACTGCATTAATTAGTTGATTCTTAAGAGTTATCTCAACTTGTTTAACTTCGCTATTAATATCATTTTTAATTGTCGTATATAATTCATCTATTTGTTTTTTCATTTGTGAATCATGAGTTTTGAAATTGTCTCATATCGTCCTCAATGCGATTCATTTTTGAAATGTATGTAGTTGTTAGATTGTTTACACTATCTGTTAACACATCATTTTTTCTTAGCAGATATGCTTTTGTTACAGCATGGTCTGTAGGTGCAATTAAATTACAAAGTCTTCTTATGAAAATCTATGCTATTAGTATTTACACTAATGCCAAGCGTTTTCAATAAATTTGTCTTTAACTTTGAATTGTTGTACTGATAATGATGATGATAAATTAAACCTTCTCCAAATTTATTTATAGAACTCATTATTATTTTTAGTATTATCATTTAATTATGTTGGCCTCTCGCATTTGCTTCTATTGGGATTATTGTTGTGATATTGATTTCTGTTGTTTTGGTTAGTGTAGGAGTTTTCGTTGTTGTTGTGGTGATTGTATGAGTTTTTCTTTCGGTAATTTAGTCTCATTACCTATGAATAGCCCAATATTAATTAATTGCTTCGGAAAAGGTTTTTGGTTGGACCGCAAAGATAGTGGGCTTAACGTAGTCGTCGAGATCGTTTTCGAATATGGTTAAGGCGTACGTATCGTTGATACTAGTAATGACGGATTTTTGTTCGTTAGTGGGGTTTGGACCTAGTTCTTTGATTTGAAGATTATTTAGATCTGCTATTATGTGTAAAATTTTGTCCTCGAAACCTATGATAGTCCCCTTGTTTGGTTTAATAGTGGGTGTAGTTGTGGTATTGTTTAACTTAAATTGTATGAATTGCTGTGATAAGAATTGGCTTTCTTTATTACAATTGGAACTATTTATACTTCATTCGACTATTCAATAATTATTTTAATTGGAGCGCCTGGCATCGTATTGCAATTCACAATGTAATACTCAGCCAGTTGAATTACGACATAATTTTCGTTTTTCTTTTTACAAAAGAATTATGCTAACTTGCACTTTAAAGTTTATACATGTAACAAGCCTTTTTAGAATTAGACTCTAAATCGTTTGCTTTAAAGGGAACCTTCAGAGGTTGATGACAGCTCTGAAGTGTTCCTTTGGAAGCAGAACTGTTCACAGTGTTTAAAAATTAATAAAAAAAAGAAAAGAAAAAAAAAAAAAATAATAAAAACAAAAACAAAAGGCGCAGCTAAAATCATTTAGTTATTAATTTAAAATTCATATTTATAGTTATTTAATTTAGTTAAAATTTATTATTATTAAATATAATTTGAAGTTATTGTAAAAAGATGTAAAAAATATGAATTTAATAAATTGAATTTAAAAAAATAAGGTCGTTTTTTTCTTTTTTTTTTCTTGTTAATTTGCGCTCATCACCTATTAGTTTCAGGGTTAAAACATTACATTAACACTTGTGTGTGGTGTGATTGCATTTAAGCAACACATTACAGTTTTTATTGTCAGTGAATTGGGTTTTGTTTCTCAAATTATTATTAATTTTATATAACTGCTAGCGAAGAATTGAAATGCATTGCATCTGCCTTAATCTGCTTTACTACTACCCTGGTCTCCTCTAAAGTAATCTTAACAATTTGTTTGCATCTTGCTCGTGGCATTATATTTAGGACAATGCAATGGGCTCTCTATCTAAACATTCGTCGGAACCCGTTCATTACTGAGTACTTTTTTGGTTGACAGAAATTGGAAGATGTTTATCCATTCAGAAATACAATTGTTCGATTGGAACACGGGCATCGCTTCATGTCCAATTCTCAATAAATAAGATTTGACCTACAGCGAAATTTAATAAATGTTACTGTAGAGGGTTGCTTGAGCCCCAAGAGGTGAATACGCCACCATTTGGGTTGACAATACAAAAAAAAGAAGAAAAAAAACAGTTTGAGAGTTGACAGTATACGGTTAGTAAAAATGAACCATTACACGAGAGAACAACACGTTTTTATTGCTGTCAAAAAACATTGAAGCTTTTCTATCCTTTTTGGAAAACGAGGCTGGTCCATCAATAATTGTTACTGACGATATCGATATTGCGCCTATGATAACTCAATTCTTTCTGCGATTTCAACATAACGATACCACATGCATGAAACACTGCCTGGCCGTGTACCCTGAAACGAAAACAAAAGCTTGACAATTTGCAAGGTTACAACGTTTCTCTTCAAGCAAGATTGAAATGCACCTTTTAGTTGACTGCTTCTCAGGAATAGTTAAATAGTTTCCTTACCATTATCATTAATCCAAAATCTTTGGAAGGCAACCGGTTCACTATTAAGCAGGCCACCAATGCAAAACCAAACAAACCAAATTTCCATAACTGAACGTGTGACACATTTCTAGTCAGAAGCGCACGACAGCAACTCTTGCCTCGGAGTAGGAATTAACGTAATTAAATTAAATCTAATTAAAACTACTTGTTTTTAACGGTACTTATTAACAAATTATCTATTATTTTACTGCCATATAACAGACACTTCTTACAATTTTTTTTTAATTTCTTCTTCATCTCCTTTTTATGTGTATTTAAAGGAATTATATTATATTAAATTCTCAAAAGAATCCTAGTGAAACATATTACATAATTCTGCTGTACGAAAACGTGGAAAATAGCTGCGCATTTCCTCCACATTATAATTGTCCAAAACCAAATCGTTAGTAAAGCACATTTCAAGAGCGGAGAAATATTGACTAATATCTAAAAGTTTCAGTACACAGGCGTCTTCAAAATCTTGACAAACCCGTACGTGAAGTTGGCGTAATTCTTTAAATTGAAAATTTAAATTTAAAATCTCAAGACTTTAACGGGACACAAGCAAGACTCTAGCATTTGCAGCGATTTTAAGTTACTGATGTTAGTTTCTGAACAGAGATATTCCCTGTGGGCTTTGCTCTCGCATTCTGGCAAGGTAAGTTGCTGCAAGCTTATAAGATGGCGAAAAATGTAACTCATTTCTTCATAACTTATTTTTGACCCTGGCGGGAAATGGAGCTGAGTTAAGCTCGCAAAATAGTTGTCCCCTTGAACACGCCACCATATATAATTCGGTTTTTTTATTATTGGCACTTGGAATTGCGCACTGAATATCTTGATTGGTCCATTCATAACCATTTCTTGGTCCAGTTAACCATACGGTGCGAAATTTATCTTTTGCAGATTGCGTTATTTTAGCAGATGTATCTGTACCTTTATAGCAAATATAGTCGATACATTGTAAAGAGTTGGACCATTTTCGTACAATCAGCTCTAACAAGCCAGTTTCTTGACGTTCTTTCAAACCTATTGTGTTAAGCTGATTGTTTTCTGAAAGATTTTCTAAAATAGCTCTTACTTGCTCAGGATAAACCTATCTTAGATCTAGAACCGTCAACTGAGTCAAATTTAGGAATGTTTCTAGGAAGCGAGTGTCTTCTAATTGTGGATATGTACTTGAAAAATATGCCCTACCATAAATGAGCCTGAGCCAAAACAATGAGGTTACATGCGTTCGCAGCACATCTATGTTGGCATTAAGGTCACTTTCCATATTTATGGTAAATTTTTCTAAACGTATTGTAAGCAGTTGATTCGAATCGGACGACAAAGACAACGGACAAAGACCAGGTGAACGCATCACTACAGATTTTAGTTTTGAGTATTGGTTAAAAACTACTCGCAAGCCTCTTGGTATCTCTGTACCTGATAAGACAATTTCCTTCAATTTCGGCAGAAGACCCTGAAGCCTTGAGAGAGTGAAGAGATCACAAACATCAAGGTAAACAATATCGGATCCTATATATTGGAAAATGCTTATTAATGTTATAGCTACTATGAGATCGTCGTTCTATTGAAAAGCTATTTTCACATTTTTATATTTCGCATCTCTTTGCCTAACAAGCTGGTTGATTTCTTCGAAGTTGTCGTAGTTAATGACCAACTTCGATTTAGATGTAAAGTGTCTTACTGCACGTTCACGCCAATGTTCGCAGACGGCATTTACTTGCAATAGATCGGCATGTGGTAAATAACTAAAAATCTTATCCCACACTTCGATGGGCAGTTCACGTGTTGGAGTGTTGTTGTCATGTTCCGCCCTCGCTACGTCCTGAAACGATCAACAAATGATTCTTTGTTAACATATGTAAATATCAAAAAGATCCGAAAGAAGTGTAGTTTTTTCAGATAAATATATTATGTTCAGAAATGTGACTAAGCATGTATTTCTCAATAAATAAAGGACTCAAAAGCTCAAAGGATGTCAAATTCTTTATTCGCAATTTGCTTATGCAGTGAAACTTAAAAATGTTGCTTATTTGTTAAACGGTGGTAGATGCTTAGAAACAATTTAAAATACTGACACCGGCCCTGTAGAAATAATTTTCATGCATTTCATTCTACAGTTGCATGCATTAAGGGCATATAAGAAAAAAGCGAAAAATGTCATCGACGCTTTTTCAATACTGGTACGTTTGGTGACAAATTACCAAGGCATTTAAGAAAAGACAGCAATTTTTAGGTTTTATATATTTTCTATTTTTATGGACAAAAATTGCATATAATCTAAATAATAATAATAATAGAATAGCAAGAATTTATAAAATGTTATTTTTTTTTCTTCTTTTCAGGATATATATCCTTTTCTATTATTTAGATTAGTCTTATTATTATTATAATTAAATTTTATTTTTATAAAAATGGTTATCTCTGATGTCCTATTTAGTCAGGCTTTAAGAAAGTATCCACAGTTCTGGGGTCTGAACAACGAACGTATAAGTTGGAAAAAAACGGGAAGATATTAGCTGACGAGTTAACTGTTACAACGAACACGACAATAACGGTAGAAGATGTTTGCTTAAAACATAACAGAATCAGGGAAAGTCTCGTGCGCCTTAACAAAAAACCAAAGGGAAAAAGAGAAATATCTGAGCCAATCGTCATGATTGAACCAGAAATACCTGAGCCAATCGTCATGATTCACAACATTTCTGAGTGCAGTTACTCTATATTCTTGGGTTTTGATGAAATTCAGACAGAACAAATTAAAAAACGTACAAACGTACAGACTGACGTACAAATGGACGTACAGACGGACGAACAAATGAATATACAGACGAAGGAACGGGCAGATCAGGACACTCAGAGATCAACATTAGCCGTAAGAAACCCCAATAGGCGTAGATATAATTTGAGGTGCAGATATAACCGGATGTACGACGAGGGGCCAAATACATCGGCGGAAGCAGTGCGGAGTGAAAAGACGAGACGCCTTGCTCCCGCTGCAGACCAAAAGGGAAGTGGCCACAAAGTGCAAGAAGCTGATAACGCAGCAAATGTGGAGGCGCAGACGGTGAATAGTGAAATTGTTGAACCAGCTGAAGACCGGGAACTGAAATTCACAGTGGATATCGAGGCACTGCGGGAGGTCGTAGGGAGGTTAAGTCCTCACGACAAAGTTGTTCAGCTACACTTCGACGAAGTGCAGACCAGCGGCAAGATGAGATATTCTCGGACCGAAGATGTATTGTACGGTTGCGGCTACAACAACAGCGGAAAAATTACAACAACGGAAGAATACCACACAGTACTCTTCTTCGCTGTACGTAGCCTGTTGACAAGTTTCAACATATTGATCAGCGCCATCGCCATAACCACCTACCACGGATCTCCAGACGAACTGGACAGATGCTTAGGTATCGTAGAGGAGGCCGGCCTGGAAGTTAAAGCAGTAGTCTGCGAACACTAATAAAATTCAACAACGGAACTTACAAACGAAAGCGAGCGGACGGCACCATTTATACAATATACTATCTGGTCGACTACGTACATCTAATGTGCAGCTTTTACGGCCTGATGTCATACAGCAGACTGTTCGACACTTCCGTCGTCACCAGGGCGCATGCGAGAACACTCAGCACTTCAAATCACTTGAAGAGAAGAGGTACATGCTTAATCAGCACTTCTGGAAATTCAACGATCAGGTGTATGCAGCTACTAACTCCCGCAACCGTGGCAAACTTAAACGTCGCTGTGCGGAGAAAAATTATCCATAAAGAACAAGACTTACGCACTTGCAAAGTTATCGCTTCTCTGACTGAATTCTGCGAAGTCATACACGCAGGCGAGATATGCAGCGCCCAATGGGAAGGGCAGAAGGCGGTGTTGACGAAAGTGAAAACCTGTTTAAGGGCTAACTTCGAAACAGACAAGATAACTAAGCCCACCTTGCAAACCATCGACAACTTCATGGAAGTAATGGATGGCCTGCTGGAGGCTTACCCTGGCATAACCATACACGCCTACAGGGTAAGCCAAGACCTTTTGGAGAGATTTTTCTGTAAGATGGCGCCAGGCAGGAGAACTAAAACAAGACCCGTGGAAAATATAATGAAACTGGGCACCCGCCTTATGAAACAACAACTAGAATTTTGGGGAGGCGAATCCAGCTCGGATGACGATTACCACCTGATTGAAAAGCTGGATTACGTGACACCAGACCAGGCCGAGGATGAGTTCATGCCTTACGATTTGAATGGGGTGCCGTACGAAGTAGCTACCAGACGGCTAACCACAAACGAGGCGGAACACTTCAGGCTGCTCACAGGCTATGGAATAGCCCAATACATCCGTGAGCAGCTAAACTGCCAAGCATGCCTGAGCGACCTAACGCTAACGAAGGAAGAAGCGTGCTCCGAAGTTGATGGCATGCTAGTCGCCAATATACAGGAACACGACGAAATCCTGGCCAATAAAAATCTGGAAGCAGAATTTCCGAGGCTTGATGTGCTCAATGTTTTCTTGGAAGCCTTGGGCATCTATTTGGAAATTATGAAGTTCCACATGGTTGAACGCAACATCGGCAAGCGCACCCAAGCGACAATTCTAAAGCAGCTTGACTTCTTCAAGAAAAGAGGCTCCTGCCCCAATGGAAGAAGTCACCGGACTAACCTCCTAGGCTTCATCATACATTTGCTGCTGATTGACAAAAACTGGATCCAAGAAAGAGTTAAAAATCTATCAGAATTTTAAAGTCGTGCTCGTCCGCTCGCAAAGTCAAATCCAGCTATCCGGTCGCCGCCTCATATAAATGAAGATTCGCTACATGCTAAAGGTAAATTTGCATTTATCGTTACTTATTATTATGTATAATTTATTCATCAATTTTTATTTTATTTTAGATTCAAAAGCAAGCATACACCTCCACTCATCGTTTCAGCAGAATGGGATACTTCCGTAGGCCAATTGTAAGTTTGTGATCATCTTTGCATATAAAATTTATTAATCACAATATTTTTTCTTTTGCAGATGTCAGCACACCGGCATATCAGTAATTTTTATTTCTTTATTATATGTATGTATTAGCGGGGCTTTTTATTTATTACGTATTATCACATATTATTTTGTATTCCTATGTATTATTATTATTATTATTATTGTAAATAATATTGTAATTATGTATATGTATATTAAGCTCTTTGAATTACTTGATCGCGAAAGAAATCTACTCATTTACACGGCCTGCGCCGATGTTTATATGTAAACATAAATTAGGTTTTTTTTTTTCGTTTTTTTATTACTTTTTTTTTATAGAAAAACTGTATATAAAATAAACGAAATAAAGTGAAGCACTATGAAGACTTTTGAGACTTTTTTCTCTAATATCATTAATCAGTGAATTTCAGATGAAGGGATAACTCAATGAGCTTACTGATAAAGATGTAAACGAAATTTTTAAACGGTTTTAGTAAACAAGAGAAACACTTCGCAATGGTTGCTCCAATGATGACATTGACAATACGTCAAACTCTGCCCAACCCAATCTATCCATACATAAAAAAATGCTTCAAAATGATTCAAAGAGTTCGTTATGTTTCGCAATAACATTTCGGCCAAAATGATGATGCTTCCAAGACTTATAAAACCCGGTCACATTTATGGTGGAGACAGAGCTTTATCATAATCAGGATTAAACAATGTCTACAAAAACAGTTTTGGAGTCGAACTTCCAAAGATAATTTTTCTGCTGAAACGAAACGAAATAGAGTCATTCTTGCCGGAATGGGCAGCGGGTAAAGGGTCCGATCAGTCAGAACAACCGCCATTTGTTTCGTTCCCCGTAGAGCTTTCTCTGCATGATCCAAAACTAACTTCAAAAGCTCTATGCCAGTTCTAGTTTTTCGTCCAGGGGGATAATGGTTTTAATAAAAAAATGGCATAAGATTATCGATTACAACAGCACGTATCAGGTGTAGCAAAGTTAATTCGGAATGGAAGAAGAACGCCTTCGATTTTTGCTGGAAAAACACTAGGAAGTTAGTCTTTGGTGTTATATCACATATTTGTTAATATACATGATCAAGAATATATATATGTTATAGCGTCTTTGAAGCTTTTTTTTGGGTGTTGCAAACATTATGACAAAATCATTTTACCCCCGTCCGTCCGCAGCTATGGTCAATCATTCGAAAGCTAAATATTGCCGTTGAAGTTAATTCAATATCGAATCATGTTTTAGGTTTCATATGGAATGTACGTAATCATCCTGCCTCATTTTTAATAGCCGAAAACTTTCCAATTATCATATCTGCCGATGATCCGGTAGCCTGGAATGCCAAAGGCCTAAGTTACGATTTCTATTACGCATTTATGGCTTTTGCATCGGCCGAAGCTGATTTAAGATTTTTAAGAAAATTAGCTTTAAATTCAGTTAAGTAATTTAAGTATTTTAATTAATTTTTATACAAAATTTTTAACAAAAATCCTTGCAGAGATACTCACGTCCGAGGAAAGACGTAAAAGCAATCATATTTATATATAACTATATATTATTTCATTCAACATACTGTATTATACATAAAAAGTCTACGCGACTGGGCCCATAAGTGAACAGCCTAGTGAGCAACTAATGTAATCCAATATCATCTGTTTTAACTTTTCTTTGTTTAAAGTGCGTATGGTTGGCAAAATTGGCAACTATTTAATGAGAAAAAAAAAAAAACTCACTAGTAAAACTGGCACAAGAAATTTAAATGATGATAGAGCGTCATACAAATGATTGCTTACCATTTGTTGCTTGCATGATAATCCTTTATGAACCATCTGAAATTGATCAATAATTGTTAATAAGTGTTCGTTAAAGATTTTAATAAAATTTGCCATTTCTGCATCCGAACACGATTTAAATTTAATTGAAAGGTTTTATAAACGCTTTAGAAATGATTTCCTTTCCTGTTTTATTCATTTGGAACAGAGAATAGGGAGGGAAAAGAGAGTGAGAGAAAAAAGTAAATTAAAAATATTCAAGTGTAAGGGAAATGCTAATCTAAGGAAGCGCACGTGAATACACATCCAAAGTTTAATGCAAGCGATTGCCATTTGAGCGTAATAGATATGAAGTACGGTAGGTATCCAAGATTCGTTCTAACGCGAATACAACTTTCTTACATTAAAAGCGTATAATAGGTGCTTGCATGTATTTTGATTATTTTTTCACTTAAAAAGCGTTTATTGATCTAAATTGGTACAATACTTAATAATCGAAAGAAAATTCTTAGGGAAGGGAAACGAAGTTGAAATATGCTTATGAATATGCATTTAATTGAAATTTATGGAATTCATATAAGTGAATAAATCATCGAAAAATATATATATA